TAGCTCTACACCTGCCCTCCTGAATTGAAAACCAGCTTCACATGACTACTGGGCATAACTCAGAACAAGTGTTAGAACTTACTGAGTCACAAAAGCACTTGCTTGTCTTCTTCTTTGAAAATAAGCACTGACATGAGGTCCAAGGTGTTGAGTCATAAATTAATTGAAAGCTCTCTTAGTGTACCCCATAGATGCTCCTAGGAAGTTCTCAGAATAATATGTATTTTCCTTATTTTTATAATAGTTATTAAAATAGCAGTTCTCAAGGAGACCACATACCAGTTTCATATGCCTTATCCCAACGTCTCACCAAGGATGTGTGAACAAACTTGAGTTTCGTTTTGGAGATTTTTAACATTGAGCTCAGGGCCTCCTGCATGCTTGTGCAAGTGCCGGGCCCCCAAGCTCATCCCTAGCCCAACACTGGGAAGTTTCAGATGAATTTATTTTAATGTTGATTGGCTTAATAGGTGTCAGTAGCCAATCAGATTAACCACTTCTTTAACGTAATTCTCCCAATTAAGCCAAAAATTTAATAACTAAGTTGCAATCATAACTAGACACATATAATATGAAAAACAGGTTTCATGGATATGCTAAAAGTTCATAAGGACATGGCTTTATTTAATGTCAACCTTTCTTAGCCTTGTGTGGAAGACATCATTGGTCTTCTCATTCAGTAGATGATAAAACAAGTTTTAAAATTTCTTATTTTGGGTCAGTGCATAAAGTTGCTTGCCACCAAGACTGGCTGCATGAGATTGGCCCCCAGGACATTATGGAAAGAAAGAACCAACTTTGTACAGTTGTACTCTGACTCTCACATGGCACACATGTGGATGAACACACACACACACACACACACACACACACACACACCGTGTTAAAAGCTTCATTGTAGTCTGTTTCTGTTAGCCAGTGAAAGACCTAGGATTCACACTAATAATTTCTGTTGAGTTGCACTTAGATTAGTGTCACACACACTCTAGAAGCAATGGGAACAGGGGGGATGGAGCCCATAAATGAGGTGGGCTTAAGTCTTTTACAATAACCAACTTTATTCAGAGCCACAGACAGTTTATACTCTTGAGGGTTAAAGGGTCACATAAGTAAAGTTCTTATGAGTTCAAGCTGTGCACAACCATGAAGACAAGCCACACATGGCTTTTCCATAGAGGCATATAAAGGATAGTTTAATTGAATAATAGCAGCAGGCAATGATGAGTAATCTGAGGTAAACTCACTCCTGTCCGATACATCTGGGAGGAGCATGGAAACACATTCCAATAACAATTCCGTGTTTTGAAGAAACTGAGGTCACAAGAGTCTTGTCTGTTTTGTGGAGTGTTCTCATAAGCACTTAGAATTCCCACAGGACTTCATTCCTGGACTGCCCTGATAGGTTAAGATGTCTTCTGCTTCACTTTTTAGGAACCCCTGCCTCAAATTTTACATTAACTTAGGGTTTCTTTTTCTCAAGTTTTAATCGGCTACAGAGATTTTAGAAATTTTAAATTTTAAAAGAGTTTCTTTTATGGTTGCATGCATGAGCATTTATCATGAGGTCTGTCCTTTCAGCATTTGTAAGTGGGGTCCTTCATTGCTAGCTTGTTGAGCTGACCTCCTCTGTGTGTCTTTCCACAGCTCTGTATGTCTGATACAAGGAAAGGAGTCATGAAACTGGCGGGATCCCCCCACACAGTATATACCCTCACCAGATTCTTGGCTCCCAGCCCCTTCCTCTAAACCATAACATATGATGCCACGGGCCTGGGCAAGCTGCCCATGACTTTGGAAGAAACAGAGTATGTCCTCAGGATCCTTGAGAAGCCACCAAGTTCAAGGTGGCCACCCACTTCTCCCTGCGGGGTTGGAAGAGGCTTCCAGCTCTGTTCCCAGATGGCAGCTCTGGCTTTGAGTCTGCTTGGGCCTCCTTTGAGCAGAGAGCTCAATGAATCTGTCTACACAAGTGTACACACAAGTACACTTGCCAACTGATTTAATTAAACCTGTTCTCAATTCACATGGTTATGTTTAGACAAGTACTAAGGCTCTACCAAATTACCAGCAGCATTACCTCTTTAGAGGAACATAGCTTATATGATATATATGGAAATACATAATATAAATACCATATGTATAATTATACACACACACACACATATATACATATATATGAATATAAACATAATAAACATACCACACACACATATAAATGGGATTTATTAGGATGGTTTATATGCTGTGGTTCAGCTAATTCAACAATGGCTGTCTACCAATGGGATGTCCAAGAATCTGTTAGTTCTTTAGGCTACATGGCTGGATGTCTCAGCTGGTCCTTACTATACTTCAGAATCCCGAAGAAGTAAGCTCTAAGGCCAGTGAAGGAATGGATTTGCAAGTGACAGTGAGAGCAGGCAGGCAGAGAGAGTGAGCTTCCTTCTCCTGTGTCCTTTATATAGGTTGCCAGCAGAAGGGGTGGCCCAGATTTAGAAGTATGATTTCCTACCTCAAAAGATCTGGATTAAAGGTGTGTATTTCCACTTCTAAAGGTTGAATTAAAATAATCTGCTCTGTGTGTGTAGGCACACACCTTTAATTCCAGCACTTAAGAGGTAGAGGGAGGTGGATCTCTGAGCATGAGGCCAGCCTCAAGTGTCTTAGTGATCCTCTGTTGGCATGCGTACCTCTCATCTCCCCCTTAACACGGGGGAAGCTGACATCTGGACTGGCCCCGGTGGGAACTAAAGAGCTAATTTAGGGATGGGGAGAAGTTCACATAGAGAATCAGGGCCTAGAGCTGGCCCCCTGTCGGGAAGCATTGCAGCAGGCTTTGTTTTCATTTTTTGTTTTGTAAAATAGAGTGTTACATAATATTTTGGAAGCAGAACAGAGTCCTTCCTAATTCTCTGTACATCTCTGTACTTAGTAACCTCTGGTTTTTCTCTTACCCTTCATTCCTCCTCCTCTTCTTCCTCTTCTCGTTTTAAGATTGTGTGTGTGTGTGTGTGTGTGTGTGTGTGTGTATGTATGTAATGCCATGGCATTTGTGTGAGGGTCAGAGAACAGTTTGTTGGAGAGTTGGTTTTCTTCTTCAATCATGTGAATCCCAGTGATTGAACCCAGCCAGTTGAGGCTTGGTGTTTCCCCACTGATCCATCTCATTGGCCCAGGGGTGGTGCTGCTGTGTATTGAACTCTGTGGTTTCTACCGGGGACAGTCTGAGCATCAAGTATGTTGGTTAAGTCTTCATTTCAGAGACTGGCTCCTTATCCCTCTTCATCTGTTTCCTTCCTCTCTTTCTACTTTCTTCCCTCCACTCCTTTGCTGATCGTTAATTCTCCTTTTCCTCACCATCTATATCTTTTGCCCAAATTCTATCATATTCTCTCAGCTCCTTCCAGTGTACCCTCCGACTCATACAAATGATGAGAAATGAAATCTTTGGATAACCCATTCAGAAATAGCCTTCCAACACCTTTGTTGGTGGCTTTGTAATATTTTCTACTCAGCTTTTTGGGAGAACAAACATGGCAGGATTTTGAAAGCTTTTTATAGCTCCAGAAGGGATACATGGCAGAAACATGCCGTTACCATTGATGTTATGATCTTTATTTAGGAACGTGACCGCCTAAGGCCCTCTGTCACTTCAAAGTCTGGATCTCTCATCTTGTTTTCCCAGCCCCCATGCCAACTCATAAAGATGGGCAGAGTGACGCCGATGGTACACCAGAGGATCTCCAGTCTGCAGGCACCAGCAGGCTACTCTATCATATCACCGATGGTGATAATCCGTTGCTGTCACCACGATGCTCCATCTTTAGCCAAAGTCAGAGGTTCAACTTGGACCCCGAGTCGGCGCCATCTCCACCCAGCAGCCAGCAGTTTATGATGTGAGAAAGCCCACTTTGATGACCATCTTCATTTTATGTAGTTTTCCCAAAGACATTCCTAACACGGTGAAATTTGGCTCTGAAATAGGGCAGTTGTGCCCCTGGAATACAGCTGTGAATTTGTGTGATAAAGCAAGGTTCTCCCTCTCCGGTTGGGAATACCACCTCTGTACTGACCTGAGGTCTCAGGAAGAAATGGCCATGAGAATCAAAACATGTTTGGATGTTTTGGGTAGGATGAGAAGTGTGTGTCTGGGCAAACATCTAGAGTGTCCTTCTTAACCAGCTCAATGTGCTTCCCATGCCCAACAGTAGATGGAGTATAGATTAGAAAGTCCTCCCTTGAGCTCCTTGTTGGGGTCTAGAAAAGTGGTATCTGAAAATAACCATTGTCCCCTCCAAATTAAATGGGCAGTTAGATATAACAGAATCTATATAAGAGCTGGTGCCTGTACCCACCTAGCACTGGTCATTTATCTGTTTCTTCCTGTGTGTCAGATGTGACCCCCAACAGTGGGCATTTTAGTAGTGTCTCCTTGTGTGCCAGATGTGGGGTCTACACACACTCTGCAATGGTACTTTGCATTTGAGATTGTAGTAAGTTCTAGCAACTATGTGGTGTTAATTTTTAGCTTGCACAAATACTTTTGATGTGTAGTTAAAAGGGAGACTTCTTTGGCTAAAGTATACTCTTTTGATGTCCCCAGTTTTTCTTCAAATGTCTACTATTCTTGAGTTTATCCCAGCCTGGGTTCTATGGGATGAATCATTTATGATGAATCCGAGAGGCTTAATGAGTCATTATGGTTGCATGGAAATTGTGTACATGTGAGGCCCTCGAAATATTTTCTGGAGAGAGGGCCATTCCTTTTGACATATTTGAAAAGGTTTTTCTTATGTCAGGATAGTTAACCACAAATTTAAATCTTGCTTGAAAATGCCATTAGGTATGACTTATATAACCTGTTGAAGGGGGAACCTCAGTAGGGCTGTCTGAGTCCCAATGTGACCTTACTACATTTTGAGAAATGTATTTCTTGTGCTGATATTTTGACATTTGTGTATGAAAAGTCCCCAAAGATATTGGCTCACAATGCAATGCTGTGGTCAGAGGTCGCAAGGGATGAGTGGGAGCTCCTGGTAGACTACTCACATAAGGAACTGCCCTCTAGAATTCTCTCATCTCCTGGGTTCAAAGGTTAGAAATCAGTGTTCACTGAAGCCCCCTGCTGGAAATGTTCTTTGTCTGTAACCATGGCAGGCCACGAAGCTCTTCTCGATGTAGTGGTGGCGATGGCAAGGAGCCCCAGACCATCACACAGCTCACCAAGCACATCCAGAGCCTCAAGAGGAAGATTCGGAAGTTTGAAGAAAAATTTGAACAAGAAAAGAAATATCGGGTAGGTAACCCAGGGTTTAATGAAAGTGCAGATTGTGTCAGACAAGTGTGTGCATTTTCTTGGGTCTCCATCCTTTGGTTTTGGCTTCCCCTCCTTGCTGGAGGACAGCTCTGTACCCACTGTGACCCATATCCCCTGCTCCCCTCATCATGAGCTAAGTTTAATGGTGAGCCTGTCTTGTTTTCACCCATAGACAGCTGATATACATCCTACTCACTACAACTCTTACTTTTAAACTGCCTCAGTCTTTCTGAGCATCCTTATCAACACTAGAATTTTCTAGATCAAAAGCTTGGAAACCTTTTGGGTGTTGAACTTGACCTGTGTCTTGATAAGGACTTACAGGCCTAACATGCAGAAATTCTAAATGCAGAGGGTAATGATTTGAGACACAGTTTTGTGTGTGTGTGTGTGTGTGTGTGTGTGTGTGTTTGTGTGTGTGTATGTGTATGTTTTGTTGGGTTTTGCCTTGAAAGAACATCCTGGTGGATGAGTGATCACTTCTCAAGTGGCACCTGCTCAGGCCACTCTTGAGAACAAACAGAACCTTCTTTTCCCAGTAGATACCAGAAGCTGGGGCGGCAGAGTTGTCAACGCAGTTTCATCCTTTCTCACACATGAAACCACAGAGCCCAGATAAGGGTCAGCTTGACCAATGCCGCTTATATTTGTTTTCTCTCTTGGTGACTATGCAGTAGAGAAAATTCAAATCCACAGAAAATTGCACAAAGATAGTGGGTCTCTGGCAGACAGCCCAAAGCAGCTTGTTATTAGAATAAAATAGAGCAGGGGGAAAAAAATCTCTCAGACATCTTGAAATATTTAAAGGCCCAATAAGCTCTCGGTACAGAGGCAATCAGAAGGTTCCTGTGAGAGTGTGAGATGTAATAAATTCTGGGGCAAAGTGGCCACTGGATGATATTCCCTGTTCCCTTCCTGTCCCGAGTGGCCTTGGCTTCACTGAGAGGGGGTTTTTAAGGAGTAGTGTTTAGTTTTATAGAAAGTGCAAACAGATGGACTTTCAAGACTGTCTAAGCGAGGATGCTTGCAGATTCTGCTCTTCATGTGGCAGCCATGGGCTACTCTTTGTCCATGCAGAAGGATGTCTCCATTTTCTCTGTCTTTATCCTGTAGATAAGTAAACCCAAGCCTATTGAAGACTTCTAACTAGCTGTGTGCTATCCCTTGAGGCATGGAACAGTGAGCTAATGAAGAACAGGCTTGAGTGGTGGTGTCACAGGATTCTTTGTGTCCACCTTTGATAGCCCCAGTATTCTGGGAGGAACTGGTTTCATTGTTGATGTGCTGGAGTTTACCAGACCTCTCTCGCCATTCCTGTGGACACCGAAGAGTGACAAATGGGGGTTCTGTTTTGGAGCTTGTTCACACTTGTGAGCTGGCAGTTCCTGAGTCACCCTGTCGTGGATTTCAACACTACACAGACCCTCGGCAGCCCTGTGGCTCCAGACATGCTACTTCCTGTTCTGACTTGTGCAGCAGTAACTGAAGTTTGCAGACACTGTTGCCAATTAGGAATCCTTCTAAAATGCTTTATAAATACCAATTTTTGATTTGGTGTGAATCTACTACAGTAGTATCTGTAGTAATTTGTCTGACTGCTTCCTCTTAATCATCCCTAACAAAACCTATAGTAGTGAGTTTGGATGTCCGTTCACACACAGAGAGATCTGAAAAGCTACTGTGAATGTGTGGAAATGTCTATGATTTGGGAGCCATCTTCTACACAAGCTGAAGTTAACTTTAAGGAAGCTCCCCTAGGGGCAGAAAAATTAAAAAGAAAATGCATTGCTGCAACTGATTTCAGGCTTCCAGGTACTTCGTCATAAAATTTAATCCCCAATCCTCCTCCATCCCGGGTGTGATGAAAAACTTACTAGTCTGTATTTTGTATAGTCCTTAGGCTGTGTATGGGGTAGATCTGGTGAATTATCATTTACCTGCATAGATGTTTTTAGAATAGAAAATTCTCTGAGGGTTCCAAGAGACCAAATGTAAAACTTAAAGCCGTCAATATAGCTAGACAGCTAAGTCCAAAGTACTAGGCTACATATCGGGGTTCTAGTACAGGACTTCCTTCTGGAGACCCTAGGTGGGGATACACCAAGCCTTATTTTTCCTCTAGAGGAAAGGCTTGGACAATCTGTGTCACTGTCCATGGTTCTGACCGTCCAGGGATGGAAGGTATAGCTCCGCCCACTCCCATCTGTCCTCTTCTGAGGGGGAAAAAAATCCTTGTGATTTTCCTTCAGTCTTCCTTTCCACCTTGATTTTTAGATGTGGGTTTCTGTGTCACTCCACAAGTGACTGCGTCACTGCTTGTTCTCAGTGAACACAGCATTAGTGCAGGTCTAACCGTGTCCCAGAAGCACAGTTATCTTCTTTGACATTGAATGTGCTTCCCATCATCCCGTGTCTGTTCCTGAAGACTTGCTCATCTCATGTGGCTGAAATGGGTCTTCAAGGGCTGGCTGCTGACAGGGCAGGAACTTCTGCCTTTTACCACTGTGCAGGAGGCACCCTGAGCACCACAGCAGAATTTCCTATGTAGTCTCAGGTGGGAGTAACCATCTTCAGTGTGCTTTTAAGTTAGCAATGGTAGCTTTGACTGAAGAGCACTCATTGTGATCTGTGGCGTGGATGGTAAGGATGTTAGGCCATCTTTATCTACTGATTTCTCTTTTCTTGGAAAAGTCTACATGTATGTCCTGAGAAGGAATTCAGAAGTGAATGATCTGACTGGCAGAGTCATTCGTCGTTGTCCCCCCCATGTGTGTTTGTCAGTGGAGACACATTCAGAATTCCTTCGAAGGCCTGGTGGAAATATTACTGTAACACTGTCTACTGCTATCGAGACCAAGCTAGTGACAGTAACTTTCACTGTCTGAACTACCACTTCTGTATTGCTCATCGTGCACCCAGAGCTGTTTATACTACTCTCTAGATATTGCTCCCTTGCAGGAAGTCTGTGAGGGAGATACTGTAATCCTCACATATTTAGTATGTGAGACAATAGGGCACAGAGGAGCTAAAGAATCTACCCAAGGTCACATGCATAATTAAGTTTCACTTTAATGCTAGCTCAGTGGGACTTGACTTCTAATTGTGCTTAGAAGCAGGACTGTCCCCTGATAGGCTGGCCTGCAGGACAATTAACACGTGCCAGAGACCATGGGGTCTGCTTTCTTGAGCTTTGAGGACATGACTGGTTCCCAGCCTCCCAGTTGGCAAGTGTTTCCCAGCAGGGCCCAGTCCAGTCCACATGCAAAGCAGGAAGCATCCATTTTTGTACTATCACCGTGTTCATCGCCATTGGTAGAGGAGATGGCCTGGAAGTGAGTTATGAGTGGTGGGTGGACAGTGGGATGCACTGGCACTGTTAGGATGGATGAGAATGTTGGGTGCTTTGGCATGCTTCAAAATAATGCCCATGGAGGAGAGAAAGCAGAGAACAATTTCATTCCCTGGAGCCCTGCCCCGACACCTCCCAGCTCAGTGTGTCTCTGAATTATCTGTGAGGTTCAGCTGCTTAACATTTTTGGTTTTATTTTCTCTTCTGTCTCTCCTTCTCTCTCTCCCTCCCTTCCCCCTCACTCACC